TAGAGTATATACGTTGAAGGCTCCAATGTGTAGTTTGGAGCGAGTTTTCAGTAGTCCTGGGACAGTACTTCTCGCACTATAATCGTTGGCCATGGTGACACTTGAAGAGAAAGTATAGAGTTGATGATCTAGACAGGAGGAATAATAGGAATTGAAGAGGGGGATTGATTATAAATGCAGTGATCCCGACCGTTGTTGCTACCTTGACGTGGTGGTCGTGATGAAGCAACCGAGCTATACTGGCTGGAACAACCGTTCCTCAAGGTCCTACCATGTCAGACAGGTCGGTTGAAGAGCGGTAAGACTAAAAGCAACAAACCTAAGGTCCGAAGGCAAAGTCGTACTACTGACTGTACAGAGGTGTGACAGCAGTAAGGTGTTTCCTTCAGACAACCAGCATGACAGCTATGCTGCCTTCCCACAAGGAGAGGTGGGGTTAGAAAAGGTCGACCCAAAAAATGCACACCTCGCCTTATCCCACGGATATCCGTCTCCGGCGGTAAGGTATCAACAAGTACGGAGCTAACACAAAAATTACCCACAAAAGGTCGTGTGTGACCGACCTCAAGCAGTTGTCCCTTGGGCACTGCGGTCACGCTCTCAGGTCACTAAGATCACCTTTAATCCAATTTCTTTTTCAGGTACCTCCAGAACAACCCTTCCACGGTGTGGGCAACCGGGAAGTGATAACCGCCCTCATACCTCTAACAGCACTCAAGACCACTAGATTCATAATCAACCTCCCTCTTCAATTCCTATTATTCCTCCTACATCGACTTTCCCCTCTCGGCTTCCACCTCAAGTGTCACCATAGCCAACGATTCTAGTGCGCAAAACACTGTCCCAGGTCTACTGAAACCTCGCTCCAAACTACATATTGGAGCCTTCAACGTACGAACCCTATGTCAAATCGGTCAACAGGTTTCCTTGGCTAAAACCCTAGAGTCTCTTACCATTGATGTGTGCTGTGTCTCCGAAACATGCATACAGGATTCCAGTGTGGTTATTCACTTGACCTCACCTCGACAACACGGAGAGCCAACGAGATACACCCTTCGTGTATCTGGTGACCCGATGGCCAGTTCTCGTGGACTGGCAGGTGTAGGTATAGCACTAAGCATGAGGGCCGAACAAGCACTGCTAGAGTGGATCCCCGTCAACAGTTGTCTATGTGCTGTTCGGCTAAACGGCTCCGTAGGAACTCGAAAAGATAGGGACACACGTCATTGCCTTTTTGTCGTTTCTGCCTACGCTCCCACTGACTGCAGCTCAGATGAAGTGAAAGATGAATTTTACAGAAAGCTGTCCGAACTTCTTCAGAAAGCTAAACGCTCAGATATAGTACCCGTAGGGGGTGACTTTAATGTTCAGATAGGCAGTTTAAACCAAACAGAAAGGCATTTAGGTGGATATATTAGTATTACGACACAGCGAACAGATAATGGTGATCGTCTGCTGCAACTATGCTTAGACAATCGTTTATTTTTAGCAAACGCAAATTTTAAGCATAAGGAGAGACATCGTCTAACATGGCGACCCCCTACACCTAACCAACGATGGACTCAAATAGACCATATTGCCATCAGTCATCGTTGGAGAGGGTCGGTAGAAGATTGTCGCTAATTCCGGAGTACCTGCTTGGACTCCGATCACTCTCTAATACGGGCACGCATCTGCTTACGCCTCACTGGACGCAAAAAAGCCACATTAAAAAGACCCGTTAGAACTGAGTTGAGTAACGGGAAAACCAAAAGTAGGTTCCAGAAACAACTGAGGTCACACTTAGGTAGTTCTGAAGACGAGGCTGAACCAGATGTTGCTTGGAAAGGCGTACAATCAGCTGTGGAAACAGCAGTGATATCTGTTAGTGACTTAAACCACAGAGTTACAAAGAACCAGTGGATTTCTTCAAGGTTTATCACACTGATGGATTCTCGCAAACTCGTCCCACCAGGTTCTGAACATGATGAAGAGCGTAAAGAAATCAGATCTAGGTTAAGTCTAAGAAACGACCGTGAGCAGTGGTGGGTCACGAAAGCAAAAGAGATGGAAAAGGCGGCGACTATAGGGAACACAAGACAGCTTTACAGACTAATAAAAGAAACTGGAATTAATAAGTCAAGTGTAAGTGAGATTATTTCGGAAAAAGATGATACTCTCATCTGCTCCCAGTCCAGACGTTTAGAACGATGGGCGGAACATTTTAGAGAACAGTTCAGCTGGCCTTCAGCTACTCTACAACTACCCTCCATTCCCAGACAATGTGAATGGAACATTGAAGTAGGTCCCCCAACTCTTGCTGAAGTTCAAAAGGCTATAGTTAATCTGAAACGAGGAAGGGCAGCTGGTCCAGATGGATTGGCTCCAGAGGTCTTTAAGGATGGTGGTCCAATTTTAGCGATTAGGTTGACTAATATTTTAGCTAAGATCTGGGAATTAGACTTTATCCCATCTGACTGGTCGCAATCACTTATCGTCCCAATATATAAGAAAGGGTCAAAATCATCCTGTGACAACCACAGAGGGATTAGTTTAACAAACATAGTATCTAAAATACTGGCCTCGATAATTATCAAACGCCTAACTAAGACTCGTGAACTACAAACTCGAGAGAACCAAGCTGGCTTTAGACCTGGTCGTGGCTGCATCGACCACATATTCACCATTCGTCAGGTTCTAGAACACAGGCATACCTATCGGCGTCCGACGATGGTGGTCTTTCTTGACTTAAAAGCAGCATTTGACTCGGTAGACCGCGAGATTATGTGGCAGTGTCTGTCATTGAAAGGCGTACCCCAGAAGTACATAAACCTTGTAAAGGCTCTTTACTCGAACACTACTAGTCGAGTCAGGGCTTATGGCGAACTGTCATCTAGTTTTGCAACCTCAAGTGGTGTCCGTCAAGGCTGCCCAATTTCTCCTTTTTTGTTTAACTTCATCATAGACCTATTGATGGAGATAACATTCTCAAGTATTGATCTCCTTCCGGGAGGTCCACTTATCGACTTAGAATACGCAAATGACATGGTCCTGTTTAGTGAAGACGCTGACAAAATGCAGAGTCTTCTGGTAGCACTAAGCAACAATGCCAGAATGTTTGGAATGCGCTTCTTTCCCTCTAAATGCAAGTCGTTGCTTCAGGACTGGCCTGCGCCAACACCTGAACTAAGGATAGGGAGTGAAATAGTCGAACGCGTTGACAACTTCACTTATCTTGGGAGTCTGATCAGCCCTAATGGATTGGTATCGGACGAAATCTCAGCAGGGATTCGAAAAGCTCGTTTGGCTTTTGCCAACTTACGTCACCTTTGGCAAAGGCGAGATATCCGTCTATCTATAAAAGGACGAGTATACTGCACGGCAGTTCGTTCTGTTTTACTTTACGGCAGCGAAACATGGCCATTAAGAGTAGAAGACACTCGTAAGCTACTAGTATTTGACCACAGATGTCTTAGAAATATTGCTGGTATCTGTTGGGATCACCGGGTAAGTAATAGTGAGGTCCGACGCAGGGTATTAGGGAATGATGGTAAATCAGTTGATGAGGTTGTGAATCTTCATCGACTGAGATGGTTGGGCCACGTGTTACGTATGCCTGAACACCGATTACCGCGACGTGCAATGCTAACCGGTGTAGGGGATGGTTGGAAGAAAGTTAGGGGTGGCCAAACCAAAACATGGCATCAGTGCTTGAAGTCACTAATTTCTGGTCTGAGCCATGTTGGGAGATGCAGACTACTTGGTTGGGGTCCGCGTGACTATCGTAATCAATGGTTGGAGACTCTTGGTGACATGGCCCAGAATCGATCACAATGGCGTCGGTGTATACACACCCTGTCTTCCCTTAAACTAAGAGATTAAGATCACTTCATATCTTTCTTCCTACTAACTAATTCTTTCTTCCTATACTATATCCTTATTGCAATCTTTCTCCTATATATTACCACTTCTGACATAACCACTTCTATGAATCCGGTGTTCATCTTGCTGTGCTAATGAGGTATGGCAACCTGGACCGATGCACATATGTACCTGGCCGTACTTTGTAGCTGACTGACTGTAGGTATGTGGTGTGGTTATCACTTTCCGGTTGCACACACCGTGGAAGGGTTCTTCTAAAGGTATCTGAAAACGAAATTGGATTAGGATTGGTCTAAGTGACTGAAGTGCCCAAGGGACAACTGCTTGAGGCCGGTTACACCCGCTGTTTTTGTGGGTAAATTTTGTGTCAGTTCCGTTCTTGTTGAAACCTTACCGTCGGAGACAAATATCCGTGGGATAAGACGAGGTGTGCACTTTTAGGGTCGACCTTATCTAACCTCACCCTTCCTTTGCAGGAAGACACCATCAATGTTATGCTGGTTGTCTGAAGGAAACACCTTACTGTCACATCTCTGTACAGTCAACAGTGCGACTTCACTTTTAGCCTTACCGTTCTTCAATCAATCTTACTGGCATGGTAGAACCTTGAGAAATGGTTGTTCTAGCCAGTATAGCTCGGTTGGTTAATTGCGATAGGCAAGCCCGACCATCACGTCAATGTAGCAGCAACGGTCGGGATGTAATTGGGTAACCTCATGCGCAATGTTGACGTTAGACTTACCAAGAGCATTGAGCATGTAAAGTAGGCCAGTCGACAAGGTTTCGAACCTGCGGCCGTTTAGGTAATCAAACTATCCACCAGTGTATGTCGAACCACTTTTATTTTGAGATTTTTAGTATTGGTTCCGGAATACTATGGATACCTCTTTGTTTCTACATGTTGAGTTTGAAAAAAACGGGTTTCTCGAATATGTGACCTATCAGTTGGAACTAGCGTTTAATTCACTAGAGAACAACTCCACTTCTATCATTGACCTAATATTATGTATTCATGTTTCATTAATGGTAGATGAATACCTCACACTTAGGTTCACATTTGCGTTTCAAGTCGCTATTTAAATTCTGGCAAAATCGGATTTCGATAACCTACAATAATATTTCATTTTGCGAAATTGTAGATTACATTGTAAAAACTAGGGAATGGTTTTCGGCTCATGCTTAGGATCTGCGGCAGTAAGAACTCTTCGACCTATTGGATTTCATGTATATTTTCAAAGGTATCTGCTTACCTCATCCAAATCAGCAGCAGTATCCGTCCCAGTCAGTCAGACAACAACTCAGGCCGCATCAATTGTTGGTCGATGGCTCTTGGGTCTTTCTGGCATGACTTTTGGTGCTATTTTACTTGGTGGAATTACAAGGTACTTATTATTTCTATTCGTAAACTATTTACTTAAGATTGACCGAGTCTGGACTCTCAATGGTTGACTGGCATCCGTTTAAGGAGGTACCTCCTTTCAGTGAAGAACATTGGCGACTAGAATTCGAAAAATACAAGAAGTTTCCAGAACATGAACAGCAAGTTTAGATTTCTTTACCTACGTCCTGTTCAGTTATGTAAAGGGGCGTGGTGAAATGTCAATCACTCAATTCAAATTTATATGGTATATGGAATTTATTCACCGAATGTGGGGTCGGACGATCGGTGCTGCTTTTGTTTTTCCAGCAATCTATTTTTTCTACAGAGGTTATTTCTCTTCTGTCATGAAATCTCGTGTTTTTATTTATGGGGGACTAATTGGATTTCAGGTAGTGATTTACTAGTTACCTTGTTATTATATAATTTGGAAGATCTCTGAATTATGTTGTGCCCTACAAGCACGTACTCATAGTTGGATTTTCATAAGTATGAAAGTCAATAAGTGTAAACCCAGTGTCTTTGGTTTTTATTGACTGCTCCCACCTATTAAGGAAATACATTTTCATATATCCCGTAGAGTAAAGTTTAGTCTATCGTAAATAAAATTTAAAAACCGAATTTTTGTTTTAAGTTGTTTGTAGCTACCTAACAATGTTATTTTTATCATTTTTATTATATGGGACATATTTACCACGGAAAAAAGAATAGAATCTTCTTATTAGTTTTTAAATAACTTGTCTTTGCTGGACGTAATTACGTACTTACACCTGTTTCCCCTCATGGACGAGCATAGGTCGCTCACCAGCATCCTCTATTCAACTCTGTCCTGGGCAATCCTTTCCCGTTGTTATTCATCCTATTCATGTCTGCTTCCAGTTCTCGGCGAGGTGTTCTTTGACCTTCCTCTTTTCTGTTTTCCTTCAGGATTCCAAGTTAGCGCTTGACTAGTGATGGAGTTTAGTGATTTCTTCAATGTGTGTTCTATCCAGTCAGTCAGTTAGCTACAACGTAGGACCAGGTACATATGTGCATCGGTCCAGGTTGCCATACCTCATTAGCACAGCAAGATGAACACCGGATTCATAGAAGTGGTTATGTCAGAAGTGGTAATATATAGGAGAAAGATTGCAATAAGGATATAGTATAGGAAGAAAGAATTAGTTAGTAGGAAGAAAGATATGAAGTGATCTTAATCTCTTAGTTTAAGGGAAGACAGGGTGTGTATACACCGACGCCATTGTGATCGATTCTGGGCCATGTCACCAAGAGTCTCCAACCATTGATTACGATAGTCACGCGGACCCCAACCAAGTAGTCTGCATCTCCTAACATGGCTCAGACCAGAAGTTAGTGACTTCAAGCACTGATGCCATGTTTTGGTTTGGCCACCCCTACATTTCTTCCAACTATCTCACACACTGGAAGATGGCTGAAAGCTGGCTTCTCTCCCACAGTAGACTGTTGCTGGTGGTATCCAACCAACGAACATTGAGTGTCTTGCATAGACAATTGTTCATAAATACTTGTACCTTTTTGGTGATTGTTGTGGTAGTTCTCGAAGTTTCATCTCCGTACAGTAGAGCTGTCTTGACGTTCGTATTAAAGATCTTATCTTTGATGTTGGCTGACAGTTGTCTCGGGTTCCATGTTTTTCAAATGCAGAAATGTCACCCTTTGTCAATGCTTGCATTCACACCTGCATCAGATGCTGCTTGTTAATTGATGGTGCTTCACAGATACATGAATGTTTCCACCTCTTCTCCCGACCGAAGCTGCTACCTTGACGCGGTGATCGGGCTTGCCTATCGTGATGACCCAACCGAGCTATATTGGCTGGAACATATGTTCCTGTAGGTTCTACCATGCCAGGAAGGTCGATTGGTGAACGGTAAGACTAAAAGCAGCAACTCAAGGTCTGAGGGCGAAGTCGTACTGCTGACTGTAGAGGGGTGTGACAGCAGTATGGTGTTTCCCTCGGACAACCAGCACAACAGCGATGCTGCCTTCCCACAAGGAGGGGTGGGGTTAGAAAAGATCGACCTAAAAAATGCACACCTCACCTTACCTCACGGATTTCCGTCTCCGGCGGTAAGGCCCTTTGAAGAACGGAGCTAACACGTCAAAAACCTTCCACAAAAAAGCCGTGCGCGACCGGCCTCAAGCAGTTGTCCTTTGGGCTCTGCGGTCACGCTCCCAGGTCGTTAAGACCGACACTAATCCAATTTCCTTTTCAGGTTCCTCAAGAAATACCCTTCCACGGTGTGGGCAGCCGGGAAGTGATATCAGCCCTCATACCCGTAACAGCGCACGAGACCAAGTTGGTTACATTCAAATCCTTCCTACACCTCCTAATACCTCTCTTATCTCCATGACTAACCCTCCTCACGTCTCTTTATCACCTCGCACTGGTAGGGCAAACGATTCGAGTACGCGGAACGCTATTCCTGGTATCCTGAAACCACGCTCTAAACTACACGTAGGAGCTTTTAACGTCCGAACACTGTGCCAAATAGGACAACAGGCTTCCTTAGCTAGGACTTTAGAATCCCGCGCCATCGATGTGTGCTGCGTCTCCGAAACGCGCATACAGGACCCGAGTAGCGTCATTCATCTGACCTCATCATGCCAAAATAAAGAACCGACTCGATTTACACTTCGTGTATCTGGAAGCTCTGATTCTGCTTCCCGTGGCCTCGCCGGCGTAGGCATAGCATTGAGTCCTAGAGCAGAACTAGCTCTCTTAGAGTGGATCCCAGTAGACAGCCGTTTGTGCGCTGTCCGACTAAACGGAACAGTAAGGATCCAAAAAGATAGGGACACTCGTCGTTGCCTCTTCGTCGTCTCTGCTTTCCGACCTTCTCCGAAAAGCTAGGCGCTCAGATGTAGTAATAATGGCCGGTGACTTTAATGCTCAAGTAGGCAAACTAAGCGAAAGGGAAAGACACCTGGGTGGATCTTATAGCATCATGGCACAAAGAACAGGTAATGGCGACCGTCTGTTGCAGCTATGCTCGGATAACCGCCTCTTGCAAATACCAACTTTAAGCATAAGGAAAAACATCTTTTAACGTGGAGACCCCCTAATTCGTCCCAGCGTTGGACCCAAATAGATCACATCGCTATCAGCCACCGATGGAGGGGCTCGATAGAAGACTGTCGCTCATTCTGGAGCACATGCTTAGATTCAGATCATGCTCTAGTACGAGCGCATATCTGTCTGCGTCTTACTGGACGTAGGAAAGGCCCTACTTAATGATAGTCAAGCTACGAGTATATTTCAGGAACAACCAGGAAAACAGTTAGGCAGCCATGTATGTGATGCCCACCGCGAGGCAGCATGGAATGATATCCGAAAAGCTATAGAAACAGCAGTGATATCTGCAAGTACGGTAACCCGTAGGGTTAGGGAACGACACTGGATCTCAGCAGCATCTATCGCACTGATAGATGCTCGGAAACTCATTCCACCTGGCTCTGAACATAATGAAGAGCGGAGTCAGCTTAAGCGCAAGCTGATAAGAAGTCTGCGCAATGATCGTGAACAGTGGTGGGTAGCGAAAGCAAGAGAGATGGAAAAGGCAGCGGCAATAGGTAATAGCAGACAATTGTTCAGACTCGTTAAGGAAACCGGAATTAGGAACCCGACCGTTAGCGAAACAATCCCAGAGAAAGATGGAAATATTATTCATTCTCAATCCAGGAGATTGGATCGATGGTCAGAACACTTCAGGGATCAGTTCAACTGACCTTCAGCCACACTTCGGTTTCCCACGATCTCCAATCAACCTGAATGGCAAGTTAATGTAAGTCCTTCGTCCCTTTACGAAGTTGAAAAAGCCATAGGAAATCTGAAACGAGGGAGAGCAGCAGGCCCTGACAGGTTTACTCCTGAGATTTTTAAAGATGGTGGTCCAGGGTTAGCAATGAGATTAACCAAGGTCTTAGGTAGAATTTGGGAACTGGTCGTAATCCCATCTGACTGGTCTCAATCACTGATTGTGCCAGTTTTTAAGAAAGGACAAAAGTCCTCTTGTGACAATCATAGAGGAATCAGTTTGACTAATATAGTGTCTAAAATATTAGCTTCAATAATACTTCGACGCCTAACTAAAGCTCGTGAAGAGCAGATTAGAGAAAACCAGGCTGGTTTTCGACCTGGACGTGGTTGTATAGACCAAATATTCACACTACGTCCGGTTCTAGAACACAGACACACATTCAGACGCCCCAAAATCGTAGTATTTCTCGACCTTAAGGCGGCATTCAACTCTGTTGATCGTAGGGTTCTATGGCAGTGTTTGTCACTGAAAGGAGTACCAAAGAAGTACATTAACCTTATACAGGCTCTCTACTCGAACACAACTGGTCGAGTGAGAGCTTATGGCGAACTGTCATCAGAATTGATTACCTCAAGTGGTGTTCGTCAGGGCTGTTCACTCTCTCCTTTCTTGTTCAAATTTGTCATTGACGTACTTTTAGAGATAACACTCTCCTCATCTAAATTTCCAGGAGTTGAACTTCTACCGGGAGGTTCACTTGTTGACTTAGAATATGCAGATGACATAGTTTTATTTGGCGAAGACGCTGACAAAATGCAGAGTCTTCTGATCACTCTAAGCAACAATACAAGCATGTTCGGGATGCGATTTTCTCCCTCGAAATGCAAAATGTTGCTTCAGAATTGGGTTGCATTGACACCCAAACTAATGATAGGGAGTGAAGTAATTGAGCGTGTCGATCACTTCACTTATCTTGGAAGTCTCATCAGCCCTTGTGGTCTGGTGTGTGACGAAATCTCAGCACGGATACAGAAGGCTCGACTAGCTTTTGCTAACTTGCGTCATTTATGGCGTAGGCGAGATATCCGTCTGTCAACCAAAGGACGTGTTTACTGCGCAGCAGTACGTCCCGTCCTATTTTATGGCAGTGAAACATGGCCGGTAAGAGTAGAGGATATTCGTAGACTACTAGTATTCGATCATAGGTGTCTTCGAAATACTGCTCGTATATCATGGGACCATCGAGTAAGTAACGCAGTTGTTAGGAAACGGGTACTAGGTAAGGATGGCAAATCAATTGATGACGTAGTGAAACCTCATCAGTTGAGATGGCTGGGACACGTGTTACGTATGCCCAACGACCGACTGCCTCGACGTGCGATGTTCAGTGGTGTAGGAGTAGGTTGGAAGAAAGCTAGGGGCGACCAGACCAAAATATGGTACAAGTCCATGAAGTCACTGACAAGTAGACTTAGTCATATTGGTAGGTGTAGACTTCTTGGTTGGGGACCGCGAGATGATAGCAACCGGTGGTTAGAGACCTTGAATGACATGGCTCAAAATCGTTTGCAATGGCGCAGGTGCATCCACTCTTTGTGTTCTCCCAAATTTTGATCTCCTGATCCTCCCTTGTCTCTTTTTTTTCTCCTCCCAAGTTTATTTCACTGTATTCTACTCTTTAAGTAACATCTCCAAACACTAATCTTTCCAATTACTGCTTATACTCTTATTACCTCTACCACTACGGGTTTGAATCGACAACTGCATCTCTGTGTTAAGGTGGTGTGGCAACTCGAACTGATGTACGTACGTACGGAGTTCTACGTTGTTACTGACTGACTGACTGACCACCTCTTCCAGAGTTTCTCCATCAAGTATGATTGGCTTGGTGTTCTGTGTTGTATTTGAGGATTTTGTTTTTTCCCTTGTGTATGTTGAGTCCTACTGATGTAGAGGCCTATGGTACACTGTTTTTTTGACCTGCATCTATTAGTGTGTGCGGTCTAGGATAGCTTTGTCATCTACAAGGTCCAAACCGTTTAGTTATATCCAATCTGTTCATTGTATTCCTTGCTTCCTCTCAGATATGGAGGTCTTCATAATCCTGTGAATCACCAGAAGAAAAAGAAAAGGGGAGAGTAAGCAGTCCTGCCTGACTCATGTCCTCACTTGGAATACATTTCTCAGATGTCGTCCATGCACGACTTTGCAGTGTAGTCCGTCGTATGAGTTCCGTATGATGTTGACGATCTTCTCAGGTACACCATAGTGTCGAGTAAGGTTCCATAAGGTCCTCCTACCTAGGCTGTCAAATGTTTTCTCATAGTCAAGGATGTTGATGTATAGTGACTAGCTCTAATGATCTGCTTCTCATGGTTATTTGCTTCTGTGTAATCAGCTTGAACCTTGATTTTCACTGCTCCTGTTCGGCTGTTGTTGATTGCTGTCTTCTCGTTTTTTCTTTTTTGAATCTTGTCCAGGATTTTGATAGAGATTCGTTCCTTATGATGGTGCTCCTTGCAGCCCAGTACCCTCTGACACGTTGAAGTTAATGCTTCTTCGATCTCTTTCCAGTTGTCCACCATCGTAGTTTCTTCTTTCAGTAGATCTTGTAAGGCTTGGAATCTGTTGTCGAGAGTTGTCTTAAATTCATTGAGTTTGTTAGAATCTTGTAGGGAGGCTGTATTGAACCTTCGTAATGATTTTCCATCAGTTGCCCAGCGTTTCTTTAATTTCAGTTCCATCTTGGATACAACCATGTGATGATGTGAAGCTATGTGGGCTCCTCTCCTGGTTCTCATGCCTTCCACTGTCGCTCCGAATTCTTCATTGATACAAATATGATCGACCTGGTTCTTTTGAGTATGTTCCGATGAGACCCACGCAGCTTTATGTAAGCGTTTGTGTGGGGATATTGTGCAGCCTATAGCATTTAGTTGATTACGCATAGATTTGCAAATCTCTCGCCATTTACTTTCCTTTTTCCTAGTCCGTGTCGTCCGATGATATTTTCCTAACCGTTGTTGTCCATTCCGACTTTGGCGTTTAGATCTGCCATCAGAATTGTCAAGTCCTTTCCTGGACATTTCGCTATGATCGATTGCAGCTTCTCGTAGAACTGATCGTTATCGTCGTTATTGCTATGATTGGTGGGTGAATAACATTGGATAGCATTCATTGTGATTCCCTTCTTCTTTGTTTTGAAGGATGCTTTGATGATCTTGGGTCCATGAGATTCCCATCCTATAAGTGCATTTCGTACTTCTTTGAACAGTATCAGAGCAACTCCTCTTCGTGACCGGAGTAGAGCAGCATCTCTCTCGTACCTAACCTGTTCTACTCACCTTGGGTCCAATAGGTTTCGCTGATTCCGAGTACTGACAATTTGTATCTTTTCATTTCGTTGCTATTTGACTGACCCTCCATGTTTATCACATTGTCCGGACGTTCCATGTATCTATAAAAAATTACTGCTCTGATTGTTCGAAGGGGCATCGCCTTCGTGACTTCCGAAGGAACTCGGCGTTCATCTTCAGGAGTCATAATTCTCCTGAATGAAGGTCCTTCGACTCAGAGCGCAGAGTTTAAATGGTTTATTCTCGTTAGTGTTTTGTAGCAAGGTTGTTTTATACGGGATGGGGTCTCAAAGTCTAGGCTTATCTGTTTCCAAAAACGCTGTTTTCTTTGGTGAAACAAGTCAGTATTGTCATAAACTTTAAAATACAATTATTTACACTACACAATTGTAAAATCTCACTACCCAACTTATTTACTTCGCATGGTAAATTTTTTCCCAGAAACTCATCAAAAATAAGGCTATTTGAAGGAGTGTTTTCAAGTGATATTTTGAAATTGTACGGCTACCTAGAAAATTTGAATAGTTCATAAGTAATAACAAGGGGATTCTCTTATGTTTGATGAAATTCGTAAACAATGAGTTACGCATGAGGATATAAATTTGACTATTACTGAAGGGTAGATAGCTTACGGTTGATTTTTAAAAATAATGTTTGTACAGTCTTCGTTCATTAAGGGAAAGATGTTCATGACTTCAACTATGAACTGTTAAAAAGTTTACAGTCCGAGTCATATTTTTAAACGTTCGGACATGTATTATGTATGCTCATTCACCGATGTTCAATGGTAGTTGATGTAGAACACTTATAGTCTCTCACATTCACTTCGAGTTGACGCAGGCGAATTTTGTAAGATACAGACAGTCGGTCTTACTTGTCAAGTACTGTTCAAACTCCATCTTATATATGATATACGATGTGGTGAATAAGCCGAAAAATGTTTATAGTTTGTGGTGAGCGGATAACCAATGTTATATGTTTAGTTAGTGGTTCCAAAGAGTTTATTTCTACCAAATATCGTTCACTGAAACCAACCTAGCTGGTTCACATTTTATAATCCAGGGATTACAGTACTGATCATGATATTGATCACTTCAGTAGTATTTTTTTAACAACTTTGGCTTTCATTCCACCACATAAGTTATGTCAATTTTTGTCATAGTTTTGCCACCAAAATTTGATTAGAAGATTATATTATTCAGATAGTAAAATGTACTTCAGTTATAAACTTATAACAGGTTGCTTGCGGTTTTGGTTTGATAACATTAAATATTAAAATTAAAAGATGTTGCTGAACACTATAAAATTTGGTTTTTCATGCTTATTATGACGTATGCATGTTTTCACTGTAGGGTGTTTTGGGCTGGCTTATGGTACGCAGTGGCCTCAAAGAACCTAGACGACCAGCAGGTCTTCCACCAAATGAGAATTATATTGGTGTTCCGCGTGTGGATCATTATTGGCTTTGTGCTCACTTGATTTCAGCGATTATTCTATATTCATTACTTCTATGGGGTAGCTTTAACCATTTAGCTTCCCATTCTTTGGTAAGTGTGACTTTTATGCTTATCTTTTAAAGTTATGTGTTAAGTAGTAATTTAAGAGTATGTTTGCCAATTTTAACTAGAACTCCTCATAACACGTGAACACCAAAAAGGTTTGACTTCAGTTTTTAACCAACAGAGGCTCGATAATAATAATTCTAAGATAGGTTAGGTTTCGTTTTTGATATAATTATGATTGTTGTGTAAAAATAGGGACTTTTGTATTCCGATAATGGTTAGAAATCAGTGTCAGATGGTTCTTATTATTAAATATAAATATAAACCTATCTCTTAGTATGAATCAAATCATAAATAACGGATAATCGTTTTATTTGGAGAAATTATGACGTATTTCTGTCACCTTACTTCCACTGAAAACAAAGAAAACGAGTGGCTATGTTATACATATATTTTAACATAATAAAGTTACCAAATAGTGTTGTTATATCCTAGTGAAGATTACATTACGAGTAACGTCTGAGACCTATTAATGGACTAATATTATTTATATATTCTTATGGTATAAATATTCAGTAACTAGATTATGTATATCTATATTCCCCTTGTTATAAGCTTTATTTTGACCTATATATTATTATTGTACGATTTACTGTTCTTAAGCTATGTTCAGTTTATTGACTACTGCCTCCCACGTTCACAGCCACTTTTTGGCTTTATTGTGTATGAACGTTATTTCCTATTTTATGCTTCATTGCGGTCTGTTTGTTTGGTATATAAACCCAGCATGTCTGAAATAAATGATTTGCATAATGGAGGCTGTTAAGGGAATTCTGGACTCAGCTGGATGGGCTAGGCGGGCAACGGGTCAATAGGACGCTAGGCTGATCAGACCGGTCGAACGTCATTGGTTTAGTACAGTATAAGAGCGAGTAAGTCGTATTTTGATTGGCGAATAAATTACGTGGTAACAAGCGGCGCATAAAGTCACAACAAGTGTGCCATGCAACTTCAAGCGCTAATAAATTTTCTACAGATCTTTTTAAAAATCACATACATCTAAGCTTGATTTCAATACTAATTAGTGCGCGAAAGTCAAGTATCATTTAAGTTGTTTCAGTATTCAGGGAAATCCTTTCAAACCTTTTGTCGGAAGGACGCTCGGGGATTTGCGCGCACTAAATATTTCAGGTTAGCATGTTTTTAAGACTGAAGACTGCCACAATTATTTGTCTTTAACTAAACCACGCACGTTATTTTCTTGAATGTACCGTCATTTCTATCTTGCTCAGAAGTTGCCACCCCTAAAAAGTACTTACATTGCAGCTATTGTTTGATTGGGACTCCCGTCTGCACTACAGTATTTGAAACTGAGCATACGTACCCCACAGTGATTAAAACTTATAGATTACTTTTCTGTAAAATGGGATTTTGAAGTGGTTAATGGTGTGATTTGCAATCAACCACCCCCAAAATAAAACGCAATTGTGAACAGAATTCGTTTTACAACAATTACACCTAAACACCATAGCTCAAGACTAACCAGAAGCGTTTTATTATGTATATTAAAACGGGAATACAAGGGGTTAATTAAATGAATTGTTTCGCATAACTGTTTTACACAATAATGGAACCGTTAAAAAATGGGAAATATTAAAATTTTCTTGTCATTAATTTATAATAGTCATCAAACCAATTTCGTTAAGTTAGTAGATTAGTTTTGATTACTGCAAGTTAGAGAAAAGTTTAAACGTATATTTGTTTGAAATAAGGGATTTATTATATCATAACGTTTATTCTGTAACAGAACACAATACACTTCAAGGCTACCTCATTAGTTTTAAAATTATACATCATTGGTCAGTTTTTTGAGTCAGGTACAATACGCCCTGATTTAACTTTCAGGGTGATTCTTTTTTTATATCAGTTTGCAGTCGAATTTAGCATCCGATTTCACTGAATATAAAAAGCAAAGCTAAATTAATAGTTCACTTCTGAGTTTTAATACAAGTGCTTACGTAGTATTCAAACTATCGGTTTTTATGAGTATGCCTTAATTTATAAACTCTTTCAACAGGTTAAACCATTCAGCGGCATCAAACGACTTAAAGCATATGGTCATATGGGTAAAGCTCTAACGTTTGCAACCGTAATTTATGGTAAGAAAAAGCTTCTATTTATTTTTCAGTTCGCATGTATATTTGGACAGAAATTACTTGCCAACATTTCATATCTATAGCACAAGAATGTTTATTTGTTCAAGAATGTTTATGTATTCAGTTTTAGTCAACAAATAACTTTGTGTGACCGTGTTAAATCTCGCAGTTATTAGTTTTGGAATAGTAGGAGTAAGAGCAAATCGGAAGAAATTTAGGGTCAGTCAAACAAAAACGTTGCATCACTACATGAATTTACCGACTGCCGGTTTGTTTCTGAGCTATCTTAGGGGGATAAAACTATCTGGTTGTTGTCGGAGAGATAACCATAGTTTATGGCTGATGACCAGATGTGACCTTGGTTCAAAACCACTCAGTGTCAGAAGTGTTCTATTGGATTGTCTTTTGAAGAAGGGTGCGCACTAGAAGTGTGTTATACACTATTATTTGTTTAAACATATAAGCATTGGTGTAAGGGGGCACCACATATATATGTGCCACACAGTAAAAATGAAGTTGTAGAAAGATAGAGGAAGAAAAGTGAGTATAATTAAAAATAATAACAACAATCATTAGAGATTAGTGTATAGTAGGAGTGAAATAAAAACTCAATCTCCGTTGATCACTTAACTGGTGGTAGAACTCATTCTTGATCACATCCGGGCTGCAGTCAGTCAGAGAGTAGGTGGAGACAATGAAAAGACATCGTTTTTCACACGGATTTCTTCTCACTTTCATGGGGCTTTCTAATCTAACAGCACATAACCGGTTGTTAATGGAGATCCGATCGATTGGTGCTGCTTCAGCTCTAGCGCTTGTTGTGACACCAACAAAAGCAGACGACGATTCCACAGGGTCCCTGGATAGACGTGCGTAAAAGAACTATTTCGAAGCAACAGATAGAGAGCGAATTTGTAGTAGTTTACTAGGATTTTGGATACGGGTTGGGTCTCGGATAGACAACATATGTCGATGTTGAGACTCTCTAGAGACAAAGCCAACCTTATTTGTTGTCCTATGTTTATTGGTTTGTGAACGTTGAAAGAGGTCAGTGAAAATAACTTCTTCAACTAAAAGAGTTATTTCTGGTTGTATCTTTCTAACTGATCTGCCTCACTATCATTATTATTGTTTCACTTTCATACACTAATTTCCAGTTATCGTTCTTTTTTATTATGCTCACTTTCCTTCATCTATCCTTCCACTACCTTATTTTTATTGTGTGGCACACATATATTTGTCACTTCCTTATGTTTCACTGAATAGATAAATGCATTTTAGGGGAGTTGCAAAGTATTCCTCGGAAAAGTCCATAGGGGTTCAGAAAACACTGGGAACCATTTTATTCAGTCAACGTTGAATAGAAGTTTCCCAGAAACATCTAGAATGTAAAGAGCCAAGTGTTACGTTTCTGATTGGATAATACCTCTTTTGCTACTATATTTGCTTTGGTTCTGGAAAATTTCAGAACCATACAATCATCTGTAGTACTATAAATATCCTCGTTTTTCCGTACACAAACTAACCTTGAGGTAAAGTTTTCTTCGCACTTCGCGCCTTTCCTCTTGTTTTCAAGTAATCGTGTCAATTCAGCCTGGAGTTACTAGAAACGCCTAGTAAGTCGGATTGAGCACTCATTTAGCAAGACTTATCACAAATCATGAGTAATGATATCCTGTGATTCTAATTCCTTGATTTTGATCATTTTTGTGAGCCATATCTGCTATGTTTAATCTTTTTTACTGTCACAAATGCTACTGTTACCCGTAGCTGTTTTGTATAAATCTTATTAGCTTTTTATCACTCACTTTACTGATATGATACATCAACTTGGGCAGACACTTTTATACCAGGTTCTACTTTCGTAACCACTGACTGAAGAGGCTATATGAATTAAGAAGCATAGTTCAATTAGGATACATCCCTTTTTCTTTCTTCAGAGTTAAACTTGAATAAATCATCGGATTATTGATAGATTGAATAATAGGCTCTGTTATATCGTTTAAATATTTGAAAAGGTCGAGATTTCCGTTACTAGTATTTTGCTTTGGGTTGTCAGATAATGACCTTATACTTTTTTTTTCACCCAATACCTAATCTTTTCTATTCCTACTAATATTGTCAGTACTACTGTCGTAAACGAGAACACAAATGGTAACAATCGAATGTTTTTGAACATAAAATTACAGAATATCTTAGTAAAATCTGAGAACTCTACAGTGAATACTCAATTTGCAAGATGTTAATCTATTGTCACAAACTTGACTGTTCCTTTTACAAATATCAGTCAACCGTCTGCGACTTCAATGTTCCTGCATTTCCATACCAATTGCTTTCTGTTCCCGTTCTCCCCCCCTCGAGTTTCTGTTGCCAGACATTCTATTCCCGACTAGCGTATATTCTACTTATGTCAATATAAGTAGCACACATCACACTACTATTCTGGGATTTTGATTGATATTGCTAATGATATAACGGATGGTCTACAACATCTTGCTCTGTTACACGTGTATTACGATAATACGTTAATAAGACTAATCACGTTATATCAGAACTAGGATTCACAACCCAGAATAGAGAACCAGATTAATAATTACAAGCAGTCACACACAGTGAGTCCGAAGTAGAAATCAATGATAAGGAGGAAAATCATATATTTAATAGTCCGTATGCTGTGGTTGTTTGTTCACGCTTAACAACCAATCATACTTTACTTTCACTACCACACATCACTTATCAGGGTTGATCATCAAGTAGACTCTATGCTTATCTGGTGTATATGCATTGCCAACATTTAAAATTTTATTCTTGAAAGAAACTATCACCTCTTCTAACTCCGAAAAGGAGACATATGACAAACATTGGAATTTTATTAAGATTTTAAAGATTGGATATGTTCTTTTTTGAAACAGTTAAATTTTTGATATTAGTTTTGTTGTTGTTCTATATTTTCGTCTTTCGGTACACATTTGATTGACTCTTTGTTGAGTTGGTGGTAAATTTGTTGTTTCTTTTTTGTTTACTACTATTCAGGTGCTTTTGTGGCTGGTCTTGATGCAGGATTAATCTATAATTCATGGCCAAAAATGGCTGATAAGTGGATTCCCGATGATTTAATTGTATCTCGATATGGTTCTACTGTGAGGAACTTTCTGGACAATCCAACTACAGTTCAATTTACTCATCGAATGCTAGCTTATACAACAGTTTTAACCACAGGATTATTATGGGCAAATGTCATGCGTTTAGGTGTAGCATGTACAGGACCACGTATCAGGAATGCTGCACACTTGGTTTTTGGTGCTGTGTTAGGACAATCATTACTTGGCATAACAACTTTATTATGTTATGTACCAGTTTCATTGGGATCATTGCATCAATGCGGTGGTGTTGTTTTACTTTCATCCTTACTCTGGTTTACGCATTGTTTACGTGCTGTTCCAAAATAAAAAGTTGCTAACATTTTTTTAATATAAAATAATTGCAATTTTTTATCATCTCGTTCATTTTCTAGATGTTCCATTATAATCATTGTTAATACAATCTTGATAAATATAATGCATAAAGTATTCAAATTGCTTCAGAATATGTTAACTAAAAAAACTAATTATATTCACATCCAATCATCTTTTTAGAGGGACTAAGAGATTAATCTTATGGTTAAAATGCAGGATTTTGACATCTGTAAAATACTACTTTTTTAATGGGAGGCATCGTTCTTGTGACTAGGATTGTACTGATATTAACTTGAAAACACCAAAAAAATGATAACATGAGTTCTGTTTTTATACGATGGTATTGTATTGTACTCTTTGACTTTAAAGAAGAACAGAATTTGATTGAAATATTCTTTTGTTGCTTAGTAGCATATATATGTGGTCAAATTTTAACAACTGGGTTGCACGTTAAGATCCTACCTTGCCGAATGTTCAAATAGCCTTTTAACATATAACTAACTCTGATATCGGCGTGACTTCCCCCTACTCTATGAATCCGCATATAGTTGGGTCTTTTTATAAGTGAATGGATTTTCAGCACTAAGAGAAAATATTAATACAAACATATAGAAAGCAAATGTCGTGAATATAAATAATTCCAAGTGACCGAATGTGGAAGTAAAATGAGGTTGAAGTTCTAGACAAACCAAAAGTATATAATTTACTTCTATAAATCTTGTAACTTATTACTGCTTTATTACGTTAAAGAATTCCTACCTACATTAAATAGTCTGATGGTATCCCATTTAAAAATTGTGGTTGAGAAGTAGACCTTCAAATAATAGCACATTTTCAGACTACTTTGAAGCAATCTCTTTTAGGTTAAGCTAAAGATAAGGACAATTCTTTTGAACACATAAACCAACCTAAGAATGTCCCCATGGTAGTTTCCATATAGATTTCAAATGTCTTGGAGTCAATTTCATCCCGTTTCTATTCCAGGTTTGGCTATAGAGGATCATGGATATCTACCACCTTTACTTATCTGAGATTGGAATCTCAACTGACTTAGAGTCATTTATGTTTATATCCCATCACTTGATTGTGTATGTTGACCACTTCTTCATACTTACACACACAGTTTGGTAAACTCAGCGATATATAACTCACTTTTACAGTATCGAAGCGTACATGGAAACATGGATTTAATCCCCAGTGACGATTAGCTTGTCTATAGTGTCACATCATTAACTCTGCCGTCCCCTTCTCAGAGTATTCTTGACTTTATGCGGTGCCAGATTGTCAACTCTTTGCTTTACGGGCTTTAAAGGGTATTTCACAACATACATGCGCTGAATAGACACCTTACTAAACTCCGTTTGTGCTGTAATGGCCAAAATCTGTAAGGACTCATAACTTACGTCATCGGTTAGACTTTAAGAATCGGTTAAGTGTGTTGATGAAAAGCCACCTATGGAAGATTAATGAACAAATCATTTCCGGTGCACTCCAGTTTAGGACTACGAAACCCACACATGACTTCGCAGGAACAAAAGACTTTTATGCCTCGAAGCCATTGAGCTACTTAGTCAAAATCCAGAAACTCGCATATGGATTCCTTGTCAATTTGTAATACAGCTTGACTACCAAGCAAGACTATTACAAACCAGTGGTGGCTCATCGAAGTTTGAAAATACGAAACACTAGGTTTCGATCCAGTTGCTAAATGGTAATGTATTAACCTCGGAACATTTAAGTTCGGCTCAACATAGGTTTGCCAGTGTACCTTTCCGTGCAGTACTTAACACAAAATTACAGAACTTGTTAGTAAAATCTAACAATCATAAAATAAATGCTTAATTTGCAAAATGTCCACCAATTGTCTCAAAATGACTCAGACTTCATTGTTCTTGCATTTTCATACAAATTGCATCCTGGTTCCATTCTTTACTGTTCGATCCTCTTGTCTCTCTGCTGTCAGACCTGTTTACGACTAATATCATATACTACTTATGTCAATATAAGTAGCACACACCACAGTGGTTCTCCCAGTACCTCTAAATGTATACAACAATATTTAAACAAGCTACATAAGTTATTTGCTGTCAGCAGTTACTTCTGTACCACCTGCTACCACTGAGACATCAACTTATCCGTTCTGAACTTCTAGTTGACATGATATACTAAATTATTCTTGATAATGTGGATGAACGATAAGTGTTTATGATTAATCAAAATCTAACTTCCTTTTTTGTCATGGGAAATAATTTAACTATGAGGTAAAACTTTCGAAGCTATTTTTCTAAGGTTTTATTTAAATCTATATTTATTTTCATATTATCTTATTTCCAAGCTTTTATTGGGATCGTACTTTGTTGCTATGGCACCTTCAACTCATAAACTAGAACCGATTATTTGTGTACCCACTACGTTTTCCATCAGTAATACTGCTCCATGTTAGTACTGTTACTCAATTGGTCTGCTAAGTGACTTGGTCTTGTATGTATGTAAGTGAATGTTTGGAATGCAACAGTGAACTGGTGATCATTGTTTGTATGTTCTTCCTCTTCGTTTAGGGCCAGTTAGTGTTGGGCCAACCGTCAGGTATAGAATATAAGTCTTCTCGTCCTTGTTGGGTATTGGTTGCTTCAGCTCGTCTATGCCGATTGGTCGGTGCTAGGACATAACACATTTCTCATGTTGAGGTACATGCCACTAATGGAAAAATGGGGCTTAATTTTCGAGGGAAAATTTTTGCCATACGTTAACTTAAGTGAACAGGTAGTATTATATCATACTTTCCATATTTCAAGTAATTAAATATTTTGTGACTGAAATAAAAACAGGTTGAAAAATCAGTTAAGAGTATGTATTCAAAATAAGATATGTCAAAAATCTACACGGTATAAGCCAATGTAAGGAAATGTAGCTATCTGGAACAACTGAGATCGTGAACTAACAATTATGTGTCAATGTACTCACTGGTACTCATTTTGTAGACAATGAACATTTACAAAAGACAGTATTTCGTTCTAGTTCAAGACTCATGAACAAGAGGCACCTACTACACATGGAATCCAATCCAGATCATCCATACCTCTGGAGTACCTCGACATTACAGAGTAAATGCATCGGTATCTAGTACTTCCTGGATTATCAAAGTCGTATAACTGTTGATCTAGTTATAATAAGGCCAGTAAGGATGACTAAACAAATTTAAATGAACTAATACAAGCCATACCACTATTTGAAAAAAAAGTCGTGATAACAAACTTATTTTCGAATCCCCTATCGAAAACGACCAAACTATAGAGCTAGATATGACCTAAAATAGTGTCGTGGTGATAGCTGTCGTTCAGTTAATTTTCCTTTGAGTGACAAAGTAGGAAAACACTTAGTCGAAGCGTTCGATAAAATAAAATATTTAACATCTCTTTGGTGTCGACTGTCGAATTAATAACATAAAAAGTAAGGGTCATCATTGAAAATACGTGATATTTGTATCTGATTGTCCTAGAAGTCACCAAATACTTACTGTCACTCTGCTTTCACTGATGAATTTAATTCACTGCCACTCTGTTTTTTCAGTTGTATAGATTTAAGTCGTTCAGTAGTTGAGATTCAAACCTTTGTCAGCATGTAGCTGTAATCAGAATGTGAGTAACCGTATAGCTGAAAATCTGACTAAGAGTCAATGTGAATGAAACTCATAAAAGTCAGTATATTGAGACAGTTTTGATCTGGTTTGGGTATAGGAATACATATTCATCCATTACAGTTTTCTCTCTTGAGTCCGTTCATGTAGGTCCGTGGATGTTTTCCGAGATTGGAAGAATCGTGTTGCTGTCAAAATACATGGGGAACAGATCCCTTCTTATCCTCTGAAATAGACAAATCAAATAAGAGATAAGAAGATTTGGAAGTTTTCTTCATTTACGCTAAACTTTCAAGATTGTTATGTCTCGTGTATGACGATCTACCTGTTTTTTTCCAGTTTACAAAGAAATACCATAAAAACACAGATTCATCAAATCTATTCCGACATGATTTAATAAAATAACTAAAAGTTAGTTTAGTTAAATTCTATTTGTAAAGGAACATCATTTAGAACTATAAAAGAAGCTTACATTTTTACGATTGGCTAACGTTGTTATTTGTCCTCTGCTATTGAACCCAATAACATAATTTATCGATTATCTATTAACCAATCATTTACAAGGTCAAGGAATAAATCCTAGTCATTAAATTTTTACTAAGTATTTACAAAATGTCTCTAGTCTTCGGAACTTGTGCTAAATCAGGAAATGAAAATATTAATGCACGTTTCTCCAAGGTATACTTTTTATTGTGACTTCATTCGAATTAACTACTCTGTTAAAGACATATGAACAAATTGAATTGTTACTGTCTCAAGCAAAACCTCAACCAATATCATTATGTGCAAAGGCTGCTGCTATCGAAGTAATACATTGATTTGTTTTCCATTTTACTATTTCTTTCTTTCATTAAAGGCTTATGATCATTTAAGATGTCATCATTATATCCCTGAAGCAGAACAGTTAGTTAATTTATTAGCCAGACCACATATTAAAGTAAGTTATTTACACACACAGAGAGAGAGGGGGACTCAAATTGTTCTAGTCGTTATTACTTTGTCATGATGGAATAGCGAATAAAGCTTATGGACCAGTTCTACCACAGATATCATCAGAAGTAGATGAAGATGATATAAGCGTGAAGGTAAACTTCATTTTTAAAAATCATATAATCTCATTTCCTATTAATGACTAACAAAAGATTGTAAATTTAATCAAGAATCATGAACCACTTGGAGTTACAATTAAAATTAATGAAAGAAATGGAGCTGTTCTAGTTGCACGTGTTATGCACGGCGGAGCTGCTGATCGTACAGGTAAAAAAATAAATTCGTTAAAATGAACTATACTCTTTGTCTAAATGTGGAATATTAGGATTGTTCACAGAATTCTTTATTAGTTAGTTCATAATATGAATGTGTTAATGGTGTTATTTTGATAGATCTTATATTTTTAGTATTGAAGAGTTTTCACAGTATAAATCACCTCAATCAATGGATGAGGGTTGTACAATATTGTAAATTGATTGAAGTTAAACACTAAGACTGTTGAATCCTGGATCAGTGGTTCAGGCATTAAGCGTTCGCGCGCGATTCCGAAGGTCTTTGATTAAATTCCAGGATGAAAGATTATGGATGCACACTGCTGATTAGTCCCGTAATTGGACGAAACGGCTTTCCATTTCCCCCAGGCTTCCAATGGTGGTATAGCTTAGATCAGTTTCTGATTTAAACTCTGAAGATGTTAGATTATTTAGTTTAATATATCTAGAATGTCACTGCTAGGAAGACTGATCAAAATCCAGTAAGGTTATAAAAGGTATACCATTTTTGAGCGATCCTTAAGCTGATTAATGAGTATTTATTTATATATTTGAACACATAGATATTGATACAAGGGAGTACCAGATATATATGCGCCACACAAATCTCATTTGATTTGTGTGAGGCCTGTGATACTACCCGGGTTCCCAAATCGAAGCAGGTGGTTTTCTTAGGGGGCCACACCCGAGCCTTCTACCTAAAGGTCTGGTCCACATTGCAGTGGTCAGTCAATCAGTGAGAACGTAGAACTTCGTACGTACGTACATCAGTTCGAGTTGCCACACCACCTTAACACAGAGATGCAGTTGTCGATTCAAATCCCGTAGTGCTAGATGTAGTAAAATTATAAGCTGTAATCAGAAAAATGAGGGTTTGAAGATGTTATTCAAGGAGTGTAATCCAGTGAAATAAATTTGGAAAGAGAAAAAAGAAATGGACATGAAGAATTCAGAAGATTAGAATTTGGGAGAACACAAAGAGTGGATGCACCTGCGCCATTGCAAACGGTTTTGAGCCATGTCATTCAGGGTCTCTAACCATCGGTCTCTATCATCTCGCGGTCCCCAACCAGGTAGTCTACACCTACCAATATGACTCAGTCTACTTGTCAGTGACTTCATAAACTTGTACCATGTTTTGGTCTGGTCGCCCCTAGCTTTCTTCCAACCTACTCCAATACCACTGAACATCGCACGTCGAGGCAGTCGGTCGTTGGGCATACGTAACACGTGTCCCAGCCATCTCAACTGATGAGGTTTCACTACGTCATCAATTGATTTGCCATCCTTACCTAGTACCCGTTTCCTAACAACTACGTTACTTACTCGATGGTCCCATGATATACGAGCAGTATTTCGAAGACACCTATGATCGAATACTAGTAGTCTACGAATATCCTCTACTCTTACCGGCCATGTTTCACTGCCATAAAATAGGACGGGACGTACTGCTGCGCAGTAAACACGTCCTTTGGTTGACAGACGGATATCTCGCCTACGCCATAAATGACGCAAGTTAGCAAAAGCTAGTCGAGCCTTCTGTATCCGTGCTGAGATTTCGTCACACACCAGACCACAAGGGCTGATGAGACTTCCAAGATAAGTGAAGTGATCGACACGCTCAATTACTTCACTCCCTATCATTAGTTTGGGTGTCAATGCAACCCAATTCTGAAGCAACATTTTGCATTTCGAGGGAGAAAATCGCATCCCGAACATGCTTGTATTGTTGCTTAGAGTGATCAGAAGACTCTGTATTTTGTCAGCGTCTTCGCCAAATAAAACTATGTCATCAGCATATTCTAAGTCAACAAGTGAACCTCCCAGTAGAAGTTCAACTCCTGGAAATTTAGATGAGGAGAGTGTTATCTCTAAAAGTACGTCAATAACAAAGTTGAACAAGAAAGGAGAGAGTGGACAGCCCTGACGAACACCACTTGAGGTAATCAATTCTGATGACAGTTCGCCATAAGCTCTCACTCGACCAGTTGTGTTCGAGTAGAGAGCCTGAATAAGGTTAATGTACTTCTTTGGTACTCCTTTCAGTGACAAACACTGCCATAGAACCCTACGATCAACAGAGTTGAATGCCGCCTTAAGGTCGAGAAATACTACGATTTTGGGGCGTCTGAATGTGTGTCTGTGTTCTAGAACCGGACGTAGTGTGAATATTTGGTCTATACAACCACGTCCAGGTCGAAAACCAGCCTGGTTTTCTCTAGTCTGCTCTTCACGAGCTTTAGTTAGGCGTCGAAGTATTATTGAAGCTAATATTTTAGACACATAATATTTGTCAAACTGACTCTTCTGTGATTGTCACAAGAGGACTTTTGTCCTTTCTTAAAAACTGGCACAATCAGTGATTGAGACCAGTCAGATGGGATTACGTCCAGTTCCCAAATTCTACCTAAGACCTCGATTAATCTCATTGCTAATACTGGACCACTATCTTTAAAAATCTCAGGAGTAAACCTGTCAGGGCCTGCTGCTCTCCCTCGTTTCAGATTTCCTATGGCTTTTTCAACTTCGTAAAGGGACGGAGGACTTACATTAACTTGCCATTCAGGTTGATTGGAGATCGTGGGAAACCGAAGTGTGGCTGAAGGTCAGTTGAACTGATCCCTGAAGTGTTCTGCCCATCGATCCAATCTCCTGGATTGAGAATGAATAATATTTCCATCTTTCTCTGAGATTATTTCGATAACGATCGGATTCTTAATACCGATTTCCTTAACGAGTCTGAACAATTGTCTGCTATTACCTATTGCCCCTGCCTTTTGTATCTGTCTCAAGGCAGTGGAGCATCGTAAGGAGTTGTAGTCCCATGGTATCCGGTGACCAACGATTGCTTCATACGCCATTTGTTCTCTCAGGATACTGGAGCCCATGTGCACCATTGGTTTGGAATCAAGGTTTTCCAACTCCTCTAGGTGGACTCTCCATGTTCACCAACCCGGTGTCTGCTTCGGTATGGGCATCCGAGCAGTATCACAGCCCTCACACATATCAAATGAGATTTGTGTGGTATATGTGTATTTGGTGCCTGCTTGCACCAATATCTATGTGTTAAAATAAATAAATGAACCAACCCGGGTAAAGCACTGGACATTCGCTTTTCGTCTTCTCAATTTCGTAAACAAACCACCCACCGCCAGAAGGCTGTGAGTAAGACTTCCCTGTCAAAGGCTGTATACACGTGGCCCTGTGAGAGCATTTGGAGAGGGAGAGAAAACTCTCTCCACTCTCGGCCGTACCAGGGCATTCGGGGGCGATTATTGAGAATGGAGTTTGTTGATTGTTTCCACAGGAAAAACACATAAACCTTTTGTTTTAATTATAAATTTGTGCACATTAGTGATTAACTGTAAGAAGTTGTGAATAGGGGAGTTTAATCTTGTTGAACGTTACACAATTATCCTAAATGGGAATGAATGATAGTCGTATAATATGAACTGATTGAAGCTGGACATGTAGGTCTTTGGATGCCACTTTAATTATCTGAAGTTTAAGCTGTTGCTGCAGTGTATGAAGGTCCTAGGTGATATCCATGATGAGGTTGTCGATGAGCACGGCTAAGGAGTCCAATACTTGAACGAGAAAGCTGTTCACTACTTTCTGGTTTATAATGGCTACCTACCTACTGTTAATTCCTGATTTAAACTACAAAGTGAACTATCTTCACGATACTCCAAATCCTACTAATAAGCTTAACGGCTAATAAATCCACAAATAATTTTGATAAGTCTGTTGTAGATTAAGAAGTAGACGATTACTAAAATCATCATGCGTTTGCCAATGTAGCACATTTAGGGTGATTTTTATTAGGAAAACATGATGTTACTTTGTGGTAAACACTTTCAAAATAGTAAGTCTATTGAGAAGACAACTATTCTAATCATATCTCATCTAACAATAAAACAGACCTTAATTATAGTGTTTCTCTGAATGATTAACACATTAGTTAAAAGTACAGATGAGTTCACGGCTAGTTAATGATTAATATATAGTAGAGCAGTACCAGCTATTCATAGACCTAGATTCTGGAGTTTAGACATAAATTTTTGAGTAAATGTGGAACAGAACTGTTTACAAGGACACAAAGGTTATAAATGATCGTTTTTATACAACTATATGGATATTTGTTTTTTAGTATTCTGGTTTGGTTTTGAAATGAGATAGTGGACGGTTAATCTGGGCGAGTGTTGCATTCAAAGCTTCAGTCTAGACAGTGAATGTTTGTAAATAAGCTCATATCAATACTTGTGTTTGTATTAATTGATAGGGATCAAGATACTGTTCAGGAAATTTTAAATATTCTAATAATAGAAAGACTGAATTTTATAAATGAAAGAATCACTAGACGGTGACGTTTAATTATTTATTCTCGGATCATGGAAGAAGCAATAGAGTAATTATGCAAGTGACATTTTAGATCCGCTCTAAGCATTTGTATTAAATTGAATAGCAAACAAAATAAATTGAAATTATTCCCTATTTTGGTGGAGTTTAGTTCTCTGAGCTGGATGGTTTGGTCGTGGAGCTTTCATCGTTTTTCTGAACGACATCATCAGCACAAACGTCAGATAAAAGTGAAGTGTTTGAATTTCTCCATATGTGTACCTCGACGTCGAGGTGCACAGAACAAGCGACCTCAAACTAATTTAGAGAAGTATTTATTTAACATTTGACTAACTTAACTAGACTAGGGCAAAGTAGTAAAGACTATCACTGAAGTCCATGTATCACTGTCACTATCATTAAAACTAGTGTATATTAATAGGTAATCAATATGACCCTAAAAATAAAAGAACATGAATCAGTATTTTGGTTCACCAGGTGACTTATCTTTCAAACCTATCTCCTTCTAGCTTATATTTTATCTGTTGTGCAAGCTTGATAATCTTGTAACTTTCTCAACCCCCCACATGATGAACTTGGCGCGATAACCTTCATTGACTACCTAGTTATAACCAATGTCATTTTTATTTAGTCCTTTAGTGTTGATCGAATTCTACTGATCGATTTGCAATAGGACAACTCGTCTAAGTGGATGGACATCGCGTGCGCTAAGTTTTAGCTTTAGGTGGCCGAAGGTAGTCGATAAGAAACCCTATTACTATGTATCATGGTAACTGGCACTCGTCAACAAGTTGTGTCTACAATCTCGAGAAAACTGGTGCTCTATGTGAGATTCAAACTCAAGTCGCCCAGCGTCACATTCTGAATTAATACATCCGAGTTGTTCGGGTCTCGACTATCCTCATATAGGACTGATATATTTAAAATTGATTGACCACTGAGCAATCACCGATTTTATTTATGTGTAATCCTTTAGTGCTGATTTCGACCATCAATTAGGCATTATCATGTACGTAACTGACTTGATGATGTATACATTCATTAATGTCATGTAAGTACTCTGTATATATTTATCATATAATGTAGCGAAATTTCAAATTCACAAAATAAATCCTGATGTATTTTTCAATAAAAAGACTTCAACTGTTCATTGTGGTACGACCACTTTGTCGTATAAGAAATTATGTTTACATCTACTCCTTTGTTAAGTAATGTGATTTACTGTGCAGTAATATAAATCGACTCAAGCGTGGGCTTTTATTTCTTATGTGTTCATGCTTTCTTCAGATGCTATTGATGTCGGGGATGAAATCCAGGAGATTAATGGTATTACCGTACATGGGCGAGACCCTATGGAAGTAATACGAATGTTGGTCAGTAGCTTATTTATCCGTATTATAAATTATTTACTTTTTAGCCAAAATTAATCAATACTCTTATATAGTGTGTGTAGACATAAGAAATATTATAATGCGTTAGCTTTATTTTAAACATTGATATTTCCAATGATGTTCACAAAGGTATAATTTTACTGTCTGAAGCGATTTTTTCATGTTATCACAGTTTTTGGATCATTGACGTGACTATTGACTGAGAAAATGAATAAATTAGAATTAAGTCACTTGGTATTAAATAGTTTCATACTGTTAAGTTCTTTGTGTTGATTGATGTTGGTTGACAAGGTATTTACGTAAAATGGTCGCGAAACTTGACTGGATACACGTTTTTCAGATTTAATAAAATTCGAACGACATATATAAGCGGACAATATTGTTTTCAGTTAGATCTTCATCAGGCTTTACTTTAATATACAGTAATATTTATATGCATATACGAAACCATTAAACCAACCAAGTCAGTTTATGAGTCAGTGATTACATAAATAAACATAATAAGTAAAGAGTAGAAATTGATAATGTAATGACAGGTCTACTAGTTGTGATAACAAAGGCTCAAATGAATGCTTCATATTGCGAAATAAGTCCATGACATGAAAAATATAGATGCTGAAATAACATTGGCTATAGTGCAAGGTTGTGGATGAAGAGCAGCTGACAGATGCATTCCAAGTAAGGACTAGAGTCAGACAAGACTGTCTACTCTTTACTTTCCTGTTTCTTCTGGTGGTCGACTGGATTATGAAGACCTCGACATCTGAGGGAAAACACGGCATATAATGGACAGCTCAGAACCAATTAGACGATTTGGACTTCGCAGATGACCTAGCCCTCCTATCGCACACACAAGAACAAATGCAGATAAAGGCAACCAGTGTAGCAGCAGTCTCTGCATCAGTAGGCCTCAACATACACAAGAGGAAAACCAAAGCACTCAAATAAAACACGGAGAACAGTAATCCAATCATTCTTGATGTCGAAACTCTGGAAGATGTAGAATCCTTCACATACCTGGGAAGCATCATCAATGAACAAGGAGGATCAGATCCAGACGTAAGGGCAAGGATTAGAAAAGCAAGGGCCACATTCCTACAATTGAAGAATATATGGAACTTAAAACAACTTTCAACTAATTTCAAAGTCAAAATCTTGAATACGAACGTCAAGGCAGTTCTACTGTATGGAGCTGAAACTTGGAGAACTACAACAACCATCATCAAGAAGATACAAGTACTTATAAATAGCCGTTTACGCAAGATACTCAACATCCATTGGCCGGATGCCATCAATAACAGCCTTCTGTGGGAGAGAACAAACCAGCTTCCAGCTGAAGAGAAAATTAGGAAAAGACGATGAAAATGGATAGGACATACATTAAGGAAATCATCAAACTGCATCACGAGGCAAGCCCTAACTTGGAATCCTGAAGGGAAGCGCAAAAGAGGAAAACCAAAGAGCACATTACGTCGGGAAATACAAGCAGATATGAACAAGATGAATAACAGCTGGAAAGGATTGCCCAGGACAAGGTTGGATGGAGAATGCTGGGGAGAGGCCTATGTTCCTTCACGAGGAGTACCAGGAGTAAGTAAGTGAAATAACATTCATGAAAACTATAAGATCGTGTAATAAAAAGTGTTCAGATAATTGGACAATGAAGCGTATATTTGGAAAAAAATAGGTGGAAGGGGGTGAATGAGAATAAACGGAACAAAGAGCATGGAAAATAATAAATAAAATAAAACCATTTATCAAGGCCAAGGGAGATATAGAGATGTTACGAATTTATTGTGAATACAAAGACTTGGATTGTTAGCTCGGATTCCTATAGCTTCTGTTGTGTGCAAGAGACGAGATTAAATCCCATAAGAGAAATTGATAGTAATGCGATAAATTACTTTAAATGACCTATTTCTGTCTGCTACATGACGGCTATCGATCAAGCGTGATAGAACAGGGTTGCGTATTGCTTTGATGGTACCCTTGCCTAACCATAAAGGAACGTGTTCACTAACTGGTTGGCTCAGTTGTTTAGCAGGGCACCCAATATAGCTTTCTCCACAGGAATTGGTAGATACACATAGGTGTGTCAGACCAGGTAACTTATCTTTTAGTTGAGGAATCACCATAGATCGGATCGAGAACGATAGAGAGAGGTTAGCTGCATTAAATGTTCCCTTCACTTGTCTAGTTAGTCTAATAAAATTCAATAGCAACGTGCCTGAAGAAATCAAAGGCAACAATAGTCATATCACTGCTGACACAATGATTTGATGTTAGTTGGCATTTTAATGACTAACTTTTGTATTTTAGTCCAATTTCTAAATGTCGCTCAACATGATCGAACTACTTTATTATTAATGTCTACAATTGCAGCAATAGCTGGTATAAATTCAACTCTTTCGGATATTATCAGTTCTCTTATCATAGCAAATGTGACTAATTCTGAAAAGCTTAAAAAGTAGATCTATCATCTCATTCTTTCGACTCATTATAACCATACAATATCGTAAGTAATCATGTTGAATGGACAACTCTTTTCATTTATTCATCCGTGTTAGTGTGCAAAATAATTACATAAATAATCATATTAATCCACTATAGCTTTATAAAAATATAGTCACCTTTATAGTGTTCATTACTCACAAGTTTATGAGTGATATTTATCATATGAAGGTAGATTTCAGTGCAACAAAAGATATGTATGAAAACAACTGAATATCTTTAAGCTCTGAACCACTGTTACATTCATAATCATAACTTACAATCAGGATGTAAGTGTGACTGGTGATAATATTATAATAAAAAAAGTTATGTAAAACAAGGAACACTATAACAATAGATTTCAACTTTGAAGCTCAACAATAACGTTTTAGTTACAGTGTATGAAAATTAAAACTGTCCCATGACTCCTTGGTTTGAGCTAAATCCATACATTTATTTATATACTATGTAGTTATGATTAGTATTGTTTATAGATGAGTGAAGATTAGAAAAGTTGTCATAAAATATTCTTCTATCTGTTATTTTACTTTTATTTTATTTTAAATCATAGTTGATACTTTCCTTTTGATTTTGTTCAAATGAATTCCTTTTTAAATATACAGACAACGATATCTGGCGATGTGAAATTGAAACTGATTCCATCTGTTACAAAAAAACAACAAGCAGAAAAAAATCAAGTAAGAAGCAGTATTTAAATTATCCAATATTTCTAAACATCGTTATCATCAAGTAGAGTTTCAAAATCCGACGATTTTAAAATTATACCGAATATAACCAAACCTTAATGTCAAAGATAATATTTATCACTCATTAGATGAATCTTTGAAAACCAAGGAACACTGGACAGTTATTTCTTCCTAGATTAAGGTTTTTGATCAATGCAAAACCATAAATCTTTTAATTATAGAAATTAGGCTTTCCAGGTTTCGTGGAGAGTGGTATACCTTTGTAATTGAGTGTTGGAGTGACATCTCGAGACATATTTTCTTGATGCCAGGTAGCCAAATTAGGATTCAACACAATTCATTCCCCGAGGGTTTAAGAGATTATTGGTATAAAACCAGGCTTATTTCGACTCTTTTAGGTGAAGATTTATCATTCATCGAATTGACATTAACATCAGATAGTATCTTCCATCTTTTTACTTTTTTGGAGACCCTTAAGCAAAGTCAGTATGTATGATTCTCCTGTAATCAGAAATAAAGACACAGTTCTATGAGTTAATTGTTGTTCAATTAATAACGTTTTTTTAAAAACTTTATTTGTTTGTCAACTAAATTAATATTATTTTTCTTAAACTACTTTTTTTGGATTAGGTACATGTTCGAGCTTTATTCTCATACAGTCCAAGCTCAGATTCACTAACTCCATGTCCAGAAGCTGGTTTAGCGTTTTTAAAAGGTGAAATTCTGCGTATAGTCAATTCAGAAGATTCGAATTGGTGGCAAGCTGTAAAAGTATGTAATTACAAAAAATTAAAGTTTTGATAATGATAAGGAATTAATTATTAAATAAACCTTACAGGTTGACATTAATTGAGAAACCATTAGAAACTAGAGTGCCAGATAGCTGTTTAGCCTTTGCATCAGAGTCCTCTGTCGTGCTAAGCTATGACTCCATCAGGAGTTAAAACCTGAAACTTTACGTCCTGCTACAAGCATTTTACCTTTAGACTCGTGAGTCGACGTGTGCCACTTTAACTGATATGGAGATTTAGTGCAATAATCATCGAATGGTACTGATGGGCGACCGCCTCAATCGCGGCATTATTGGAATCTACCAACCACAACTAGTTTTTTGACCGTTATCAACTCATTACGGAAACCTATAGGTCATATCCTTCGTCACAGTTCTCTCAACAAAATAATGAATTTTTTTTTATACATAAGACGAGGTGATAAGTGTTGCGTGAAAATAGTCCTAGAAGCAAAAATTATGGTTTGTGGAGTTGTCTAGTTGTATCTTAATATGATAAACACCATGCTAATTATAATAATAATAATAATAATAATAATAATAATAATAATAATAGCAATAGTTATCATGTGTTCACTAGAGATGGAAAAGGCAGAGGCAATAGGTAATAGCAGACAATTGTTCAGACTCGTTAAGGAAATCGGTATTAAGAATCCGATCGTTATCGAAATAATCTCAGAGAAAGATGGAAATATTATTCATTCTCAATCCAGGAGATTGGATCGATGGGCAGAACACTTCAGGGATCAGTTCAACTGACCTTCAGCCACACTTCGGTTTCCCACGATCTCCAATCAACCTGAATGGCAAGTTAATGTAAGTCCTCCGTCCCTTTACGAAGTTGAAAAAGCCATAGGAAATCTGAAACGAGGGAGAGCAGCAGGCCCTGACAGGTTTACTCCTGAGATTTTTAAAGATAGTGGTCCAGTATTAGCAATGAGATTAATCGAGGTCTTAGGTAGAATTTGGGAACTGGACGTAATCCCATCTGACTGGTCTCAATCACTGATTGTGCCAGTCTATAAGAAAGGACAAAAGTCCTCTTGTGACAATCATAGAGGAATCAGTTTGACTAATATAGTGTCTAAAATATTAGCTTCAATAATACTTCGACGCCTAACTAAAGCTCGTGAAGAGCAGACTAGAGAAAACCAGGCTGGTTTTCGACCTGGACGTGGTTGTATAGACCAAATATTCACACTACGTCCGGTTCTAGAACACAGACACACATTCAGACGCCCCAAAATCGTAGTATTTCTCGACCTTAAGGCGGCATTCAACTCTGTTGATCGTAGGGTTCTATGGCAGTGTTTGTCACTGAAAGGAGTACCAAAGAAGTACATTAACCTTATTCAGGCTCTCTACTCGAACACAACTGGTCGAGTGAGAGCTTATGGCGAACTGTCATCAGAATTGATTACCTCAAGTGGTGTTCGTCAGGGCTGTCCACTCTCTCCTTTCTTGTTCAACTTTGTTATTGACGTACTTTTAGAGATAACACTCTCCTCATCTAAATTTCCAGGAGTTGAACTTCTACTGGGAGGTTCACTTGTTGACTTAGAATATGCTGATGACATAGTTTTATTTGGCGAAGACGCTGACAAAATACAGAGTCTTCTGATCACTCTAAGCAACAATACAAGCATGTTCGGGATGCGATTTTCTCCCTCGAAATGCAAAATGTTGCTTCAGAATTGGGTTGCATTGACACCCAAACTAATGATAGGGAGTGAAGTAATTGAGCGTGTCGATCACTTCACTTATCTTGGAAGTCTCATCAGCCCTTGTGGTCTGGTGTGTGACGAAATCTCAGCACGGATACAGAAGGCTCGACTAGCTTTTGCTAACTTGCGTCATTTATGGCGTAGGCGAGATATCCGTCTGTCAACCAAAGGACGTGTTTACTGCGCAGCAGTACGTCCCGTCCTATTTTATGGCAGTGAAACATGGCCGGTAAGAGTAGAGGATATTCGTAGACTACTAGTATTCGATCATAGGTGTCTTCGAAATACTGCTCGTATATCATGGGACCATCGAGTAAGTAACGTAGTTGTTAGGAAACGGGTACTAGGTAAGGATGGCAAATCAATTGATGACGTAGTGAAACCTCATCAGTTGAGATGGCTGGGACACGTGTTACGTATGCCCAACGACCGACTGCCTCGACGTGCGATGTTCAGTGGTATTGGAGTAGGTTGGAAGAAAGCTAGGGGCGACCAGACCAAAACATGGTACAAGTTTATGAAGTCACTGACAAGTAGACTGAGTCATATTGGTAGGTGTAGACTACCTGGTTGGGGACCGCGAGATGATAGAGACCGATGGTTAGAGACCCTGAATGACATGGCTCAAAACCGTTTGCAATAGCGCAGGTGCATCCACTCTTTGTGTTCTCCCAAATTCTAATCTTCTGAATTCTTCATGTCCATTTCTTTTTTCTCTTTCCAAATTTATTTCACTGGATTACACTCCTTGAATAACATCTTCAAACCCTCATTTTTCTGATTACAGCTTATAATTTTACTACATCTAGCACTACGGGATTACAAACAAATAATGGATGTGGAAATAAGGTTAATGATAACAAAATAGAATAAAATAAATAATGATAATAATAAATTTTTTTAAAAAAGGTTTCGTTAGTTAAGTTATATCTGGCCATGGAAGGGATAGGGGGGTTACGTATTTCTTCTGTACACATAAATTGGGGTTATATGTACGAATTCCAATGGCTTCAGCTATATGTAGGAGGCGAGAACGAACTCCATTGGGAAATGATGGAGGTATACGATAGATAACTCGAAATGATTTCGATTTATCTACAGCATGACCGCTATCAATGAGATGTGCCAAGATAGAACTGCGACTAGATTTTATCTGGCCCCTTATGTACCAAGTTGGTAGATGTTCATTCATTCGTTGGTTAAGTTGCCTCGTAGTACGCCTTATATAGCTATCTCCACAGCAGCAGCTGAATTTGTAAATGCACATAGAAGAGGCCAACTAAGGTAACTTATCCTTCGTTTGAGTAGACATCGCTGGTCGACAAGAGGTCAACGCAAGATTGGTTGCGTAGAATGTCTTCGTGATTACTTTAGTTAACCTATATTTCAGTGTCACTAGCCACATCCCCGTTGAATTGCACTTTCATGTATAAAGGTTTCTTACGAACAGTCGAAATCTCCGACTTCTTTATTATGTCATACATGTACTTCTTAGTGAAAGCACTGGGGTAGCCGATCTCGGTCAGTGAGTTGTTGATAAATTCAAGCTCCTGACTTAGAGTATCTACTGTACAGATCTTTTTTGCTCTGTTAGTGAGACATCTGACCAAATTTCTCTTGTAACGGATAGGTGTGAAACTGCAGAAGTGAGTATATTGGCATGAAGAGGGGTTTCTTCTATACACGCTTCTTTTTAATGTGCCGTCACTTCGTCTGCTTAGTGTGACGTCAAGGAAGTTCAGCTTCTTATTATGCTCGCTTTCACCAGTGAAAGTGATCGCTGGATGAACACTGTTGAATTGTTCTAGTAGTTCCTCCTTACTGGTGTTTTGATGTACGATAATGAAGATGTCGTCAATGTAGCGGCAATATAAATCAAGTTTCTTAATCGTCTCATTGAGAGGTCCATTTTCTAGCTTTGCTAGGAAGAGATCAGCTGAAATCGGGCCTAGAGGCGAGCCCATGACTATCCCGTCTATTTGTCTATAATAAGTATTGTTGAAGACAAAATGTACATTCAGCGTGCATCTTAAGAGCGGTTCCTTTAGACTATCGTTAGGCAAATCAATGTTGATTTGTTTTTCTGACATTCGCTTGCATATAAACTCAATAGTTTCTATAAGTGGTACGTTGGTGAACAAAGATCCTACATCCAATAAGACCATATTTTTCGTACTTATATTAATATTTTCCACTTTGGAGGTGAAGTTGAAGACATCTTTTACACTATTTCTAACAACTGATTTGTGTAAAGGTTCTAAGATTCGTACTAGCCACTTTACAATTTTGTGGTAGGGAGAATTGTACATATCTAGAACTGCGCGTAGAAGAAGACCCGATTTATTTACTTTAGGCGAACCATACAGTCGTGGTGTAAATGATCCAGTCGGCTTAATTGGATCGTGAATCTCGGTCGTAGTTATTCCCTTTTTCTTTAGATCCTTAAGGAAATTGGCCAATTGTCTTTCTACTTTATTATTGATGTCACAATTACTAGTAATTTTCTGAAATTTGCTAGGATCGCTAAGTATTGTTTCCATTTTTCCCTTGTAATCATTTTTGTTCATGAGAACTACACCTCCTCCTTTATCTGGTTTGGTTATGGTCAGGGTTTCATCTTTTCTTAGTTTCGTTAAAGAGTCTCGGTGCTGCTTGGTTAGTAGGTGATTTGTGGTACCCTTACTATTCTTGTATTGTTGGCAGCTATCAACTAATGTGGTTTTAAACCGAGCAAGATCCTCCAATGAGGTAGGAATTAAGTCAGTTGTTTGTGAAAATAAATTCTCAAATTGTACATCAGTATCTAATTGGTTGATTCTATGCCTACTACCACAGAATTTAGGCCCCAGAGAGAAAGCTTCTAGCTGTATTACATCTAGTTCAATATTGGAAAAATTATGTACGTACAGTTTCGGATCGAAAGGAAAATCCTTTTCTGGCTTTTGGTTTTCCAAAGTTTTCATTAGTTTTGTCAACGTTTTCTCAGATCCGTTCTTGAGAATTTTTCCCACATTGACTGAAGCTCTGAAGGCAGGTTTTTAACGGAATATTGTCTCTGAAGAAGATTGCTTTCTAAGTCTCAGATATTCATTTTTTAAGTATCAATTTGACTCGACGCATGTATTTCAAGTGTTTTTGCATTAGGATAGATTCTGTTACGACGTAAAGACTTCCAATATATTTTAGGATATCTATTAGATTGATAACGATCTAATTGAAAACAATTGTTCACTTATATGTGTTGTTCTTGTTGTAACGGGTGTGATTGCAGGTTATTGATAAGCAGCGTTTATATCGATCGATTCAGTGACACGTAAACACGTACGAACGACCTAGTGTCCTGATTGGCCCTGCCTCCCTGTCTATCCCAGCCAGTTGAGTCCAGAACGAAAGTTACAGCCTCTGAGATATGAATCATTGTATTTCAGACATACTCTATTTATATACTAACCAAACATACCACATCGTACCATAAAAATAGAAAACAACATTTACACAATATTAAACAAGTGAAGTAAATATCGACCAATAGGGAATGTACATTTAGCGTCCAAGGACAACATTAGACTTAACATGGTAACTATTGGTATATTTTTCTGCACATCCTAACAGTTCTAACAACAAATTTGACAATAATTTGATAAAAATCTATTTAAAATTAGTTAGGCTAGAGTAATTACTATATAAGGTGGTTATCTAAAATTTGATTAGCTGAAAACCCTAACTCAAGTATAACACATTCATTATTATCTTTTTCGAATAGGTTGAATTTCCACTTAGTGGGATTGTTCCATTTGTACTGGGTAATAATTTAACGCAACCAAGTTTAGGTAGAGCTGGTCTAATACCAAGTAAAATGATGCGAGAATGGTAAGTCGAGAAAAGAATAACACATTGAGAACAGATTTTCAAATTGTCTGGTTCACAATAAATGCTGTATTTTACTTTTCGTTACTTGTCAAACTAACTAATTTGTAACCGTTTTTTGTTTCTACTTGTCTATATTAACACTAAACACCAAGTTCCATTTTACAGAAATTAAGGTGAGACCATAATTTTTGGACGCTAAACTGACCTTGAGAGTCTTCACCTAATAACTAGGACCGAATGGGGGCTATAAATCAGTGTGAAGAATTGGAATTATTATTTACAGTTGATGGTTAAGGTTAGGAATTACATTTAGGGTTTTCATCACGAACTGACATAAGCTATAATGCCAAAACTCTATTTAGTCAAATGGATGAGTGAATTTTGCGTCGAAATCCGAGACCTGTTATCTTACAACTTATTGGTTCGTCCATAAATTATAGTCTCGCCGAAATCAACTTAATGAAGTATAAGAAATAATCAAATTAAATTCCAAAATTGCATATAATATCTTTCCGAAGTTTACTATAATGGTCAAACTATTGATTAAAATATCAGAACTTGGAATATGATCACTTAGTCTGTCAAATTAAACTAGAAATAAAGACTGAGGGAAAATTATGTAGAATATTGCTAATTGATCAATCACTGTGGATATCTCAGTCCTACAGGACAGTCCAGCCTCGAATATCTCAGAGGTGGCGTCTGAGACTGTGGACCTAAGCAACATGAGTTCATATCCCATAAGAAGCATTAGTTCTCTTAAAATTGTGGCTACATCGCCTTTGCTGACAACTATCACCAAACCTGCACCCAAGGTTTTCTGTTGAGTCCTTCCAGCCACTTAACATCAGTGGAAGGATGTAACCTAATTTGAATGGGGAAGCGTTAAATACTATCAGGATTATCGGTGAGGATATGAATGGGTGTCATATTGATTAAATTTTTTATGGTTCGAATCAATGGAAATCGATATGCCACTAATATAATTGAAAAGAATCGTGGATAGATGGACGCAAACTGATTTTGTCCCTTATTCTATTATTTTTTATGCTCCTTTAATTTTACGTGAATATATTTTTCAGAATCCATTATAGCAGTAACATAACAGGGATAAATATTTGGAGTGACCATTTGTTCATACGTAATGTCTATGTAGCTGATTTTGAAAAAAATAATAAGTATTATATGCACCTGTTTGTATGCTTATACTCACCGATAATTAGTTGTCAACTACATTAAAACCACTTTAAAAAACAAAATGTATCAAATTATATGTAGTATGGTATTTTTAAGATATCTTAGATTTATGCATATTTTGTGGTGAATTTATAGTTAATTACCATTACAAATTGATTTTCGTTGGAGCAAAACTTTAAACGAAGGAGATGCATAGGGTTTTTTGTTTTGGCTAGAGATGGCTTGATAACGCACAAACAAAACGGTCTGTTAGAAAAAACATACGGCTTTCATTTTATAGCCAACACGTATATCATTTCAGTTACTACTTAAAGTCAGTGGTGGGAAACCGTCTTACTGCTAACTTTGTTGTCTTCAAAAATCTGCTTTCAATTAAAATGTAGGGGGAAGTATCCATCTGAAAATGTTACAAGTAATTGCTGCTGATAAGTCCCCAAATTGGAAGAACCATCGATCAATTGCTTTAAGATTTTCAGTGGTTTGTATAACTGATATTAATTCGTGATGAAAACGCCCTTTATGTATGAATTTGTCTGGCATAAATTGTGTTTCAGTTAGGCAGAAGATTCAGTTTACATGTCCTTGATCTTGAAATCATTTTGAAACCTTTTCATGTATATATTTAAAGTTATGGCTTCTCACTATTGTCATTAAAGAAGCTCCTAATAGAAAAATCGCTCAACTTAAAACTAGGTCAGAATATGCTTTCTAAGCACTTATTTTCGGGTAATCAGTTGAGAATGATTGTATGACACGACAGAGAAACTCTCTGGAAATCGTCGCAAACCAGAACGACCAGTGAAAAGCAAGGAAGGCGAGGTAATCACCAACATTGAAGAGCAACAAAACAGGTGGGTAGAACACTTCAAAGAACTTTTGAATCGACCAGCTCCACTGAACCCACCCAACATCGAAGCAACACCCACGGACCTCCCAACCAACGTTGGCCCACCAACAATTGAAGAAATCAGCATGGCCATCAGACAAATCAAGAGTGGCAAATCAGCAGGACCAGACAACATTCCAGCAGAGGCACTGAAAGCAGACGTAGCGGCAACTGCAAGGACACTCCACATTCTCTTCAATAAGATTTGGGATGAGGAACAAGTACCAAAAGACTGGAAAGAAGGACTCCTGATCAAAATACCGAAGAAAGGCGATCTCAGCAAGTGTGATAACTACAGGGGCATCACTCTTCTTTCAATACCGGGAAAAGTCTTCAACAGAGTATTGTTAAACAGGATGAAGGACTGCGTAGACGCCCAACTTCGTGACCAACAGGCAGGATTCCGTAAGGATCGATCTTGTACAGACCGAATCGCAACTCTACGGATCATTGTGGAACAATCAACTGAACGGAATTCACCACTCTACATCAACTTCATTGACTACGAAAAAGCATTTGACAGCGTGGACAGAACAACACTATGGAAGCTTCTTCGACACTACGGTGTACCTCAGAAGATAGTCAATATCATACAGAGTTCATATGATGGATTACACTGCAATATCGTGCATGGAGGACAGTTGACAAAGTCGTTCGAGGTGAAGGACGGTGTTAGGCAAGGTTGCTTACTCTCACCCTTTCTCTTTCTTCTGGTGATCGACTGGATCATGAAGACGTCAACATCTGAAGGGAAACACGGGATACAGTGGACATCTAGGATGCAGTTGGACGATCTGGACTTCGCAGATGATCTGGCCCTTCTATCCCAAACGCAACAACAAATGCAGGAGAAGACGAACAGTGTAGCAGCAGCCTCAGCAGCAATAGGTTTCAATATACACAAAGGGAAGAGCAAGGGTCTCCGATACAACACAGCATGCACCGATCCAATCACAATTGACGGAGAAGATTTGGAAGATGTAAAAACCTTTACATATTTGGGCAGTATCATTGATGAACAGGGTGGATCTGATGCAGATGTGAAGGCGCGGATCGGCAAAGCAAGAGCAGCATATTTACAACTGAGGAACATCTGGAAATCAAAACAACTGTCAACCAACACCGAGGTCAGGATTTTCAATACAAATGTCAAGACAGTTCTACTGTATGGGGCGGAAACCTGGAGAACTACGAAAGCTATCATCCAGAAGATACAGGTGTTTATTAACAGTTGTCTACGCAAAATACTTCCGATCCGTTGGCCGGACACTATTAGCAACAACTTACTATGGGGGAGAACAAACCAGATCCCAGCGGAGGAAGAAATCAGGAAGAAGCGCTGGAAGTGGATAGGACACACATTGAGGAAAGCAACTAACTGCGTCACAAGACAAGCCCTCACATGGAATCCTCAAGGCCATAGGAAAAAAGGAAGACCAAAGAACACATTTCGCCGAGAAATGGAAATAGACATGAAAAAGATGAACAAGAATTGGATGGAATTAGAAAAGGAGGCTCAGGACAGAGTGGGTTGTAGAATGCTGGTCGGCGGCCTATGCTCCATTGGGAGTAACAGGCTTAAGTAAGTAAGTAAGTACGTAAGTTGAGAATGATTTAGAGATAGATATGGAAAATAACTGTTAAATATTAAAAATTAAGCAGTGCAGAATTTTTTAAAATTCCTTTTTTATTTACAACTTTTAAGAACACTTAGTAATTAGATTTCATGCATGTAGTACTAATTGGTTTATATTTTTTATCTATAAGGTCTTATGATATTTGAGGGAGAAATCGAAGCTAACTGAACGATAAGATCAAACTGTTCATTGAATGATCTACGTCCTGATGATTTCTGTTAATTAAGAAAGAAAAAAATCCAGAATGAATTGTAATAATATGTCAGGTCAATGCCAGAAAATTTTGTTACAGTAAAGAATTCTCAGAAACGATTGTGAAACAACGCAATAGCTTTCGTTCTGAAATATATTCAAAATTGAAGTCTTCAAGAATATAAGTTTTTCAACAGCCAATACTTGTTACTCATCCTTAGTTTTGAAATTTCTTACTAATTTATCTATTACAACTACTTTTTCATCCACATTATTTAAAATTCATAGATTTCTATGTATTCGTCTCACGTTATTTTAAAGAATAGATAAAGGAAACTATTACAACTGCAGTATTCAATATCATAACAGTTGGTAACTTTTTTTTGATAATAGCATACATGTGCATACAAAGTTAACATTTCTAAATAATCAGTTGAAAGAACCCCAAAATAAGGAAGTGGAATATGTATACAGTTGGAAAATTGATGACCCAAGTGTTGAGTTCAGCCAACTTAATTGTGATACAACTTGGATGTCATCTGAATTTTGATGATGACTTTTAACTAATTGATAATTAATTAATTAACAAAACATACTACAAAATGTAAATTATTGTTTTTTTTCCTTTCAATAGGAAAATGCAGTATCACTTTAATTCATTGCATACAAACGGCGGACAAGATACACAAATTCATGGTAAGTTGACTCAAATTATTAATAAAAGTAAAATAAAAATTAAATTCACATGATGATTTAAGTTAGTTGTTGCTCATAAAATTTTATTCACTTAAGTATTCAATACAAATAAAATTTGATTGTGTTATCATAAATAAGTAAAAATACACAAATTTGTACGAATATTTTGATAGAATTTGGGCACCGAGTATAGAGAAGATATTATTTATGAAAATTATATTTGAAATAATTTCAGAGATTGAAATTTAAATAATTCCAACGGTTCGTTCAGCAATCTTGTCTGGACGTCTTCAGGGTAATCAAGTAAAAATCATTTAAGAATATATAATGTTTAACAGTCGAATCAAATCTATACCGTGCTTATCCAATCATATTCAGATGTTGACTGCAGTAAGTGGGATAACTTGAGTCAGCTATATGTGAATTATGTGAAGAATAAAAAATATGAAACAAATGAGTGATTGTGTGTATATTTGTAAGTTTAAGTTACTAATATCAGTATTTGGTTGTGGTAATTGTTGAGTTTTTATTGGGATCATAAACCAATCAGTGTTAAACCATAATTGAAAACCCCGAAGCACCGGACAGCCTTTTCACCTCAGTATAGGGCTCATCAATAGTGCGCATCCATGATCCCGCACGCGGGGCTCGAACTCATGACCTAGGGCCTCGCGCTCAGACACCTAACTTCTAGACCACTAAACCGGCGTCCAGCGGCGTTAATATCTAACAGCAATCAATACACGATATCACACAACCATCTTAGTAGCTGATAATAAATGTTAGTTAGTTTTTTATTAGGAGTAAAAATAAAGTACAAATTGGAAATGTTTTTCAAACGTTGATATGTATGTAAAACTAGAACCATCAAATATATAATTGTGATGATAAAATATTCAAACTAATTCCTCTCAGAACAAACAGTGCATATGAACTGAACAGGTTGGATAGAGATATGGTCCAATTACTTGTCAACAATCATTTGCCGAGGGGTGGCCAGTTGAATACTATGTTTTCTGTTCAAACTGTTCTTATTAGCCCATACGTGCAACACTCCTGCTGTAAATCTTTCCTTATGTGTGCCAAACCCTTCCCGAACTATTTTAATCCTTTCGAAGTTGAACTTGTATCCTGTTTCTAACGCGTGTAACTCTATCTCAAATCTATTCTCATGTTTCCTCAAATCAACCGAGGATTTGGGGAAATGTTTCAAACATAGTTTATATCCCTTTAACCTCACAATCAACTGTCTAGATGTTTCTCCCACATAAGCTGCATTACAATCATAACAAATGGTCTCGTAGACAACATTCTGTTGT